GGGTCAGAACTGGTTTATCTGTTATACTAACGGTTATTTAACGGATATATAATGGTTTATCAAAATAAATTTTTATTAAAAAAATATTATCCCAATTTTAATTTTTTATTTTTTTAATAATACTAATCAAATATCATTTTATCATAAATTCAAATTTCAAATCTTTATTAAAAAAAAGCCTGTTTGACAGACTGAACTAGGTAATTTATCTATACTCTATAGGATCTACGGGATGGATTGTATTAAAATTGGACGCATTTCTCTTTAAAAACATCACTTTTTTGGATAATTTTGGTTTCATTCTTGTTCTTTATTAGTTAGTAGATTCCCAGCATCTGAAAATAGGCGTTCACTAGCAGTTAAAGTTGCAGAAACTGCTAAGTATTTTCGAGCAAGGCCACTTAGGATAGGAAATCTTTCTTTTTTTTCGTTCCACCATGTAAGTGGATTTGATTCTAAGGGAATTTCGGGTAACTGAAGGTATTCTTCAACTTTATTGACAACCACTACGTTAGGCTTCGAAAGTCGTGCCATCAGAGTCTTTCCTGTCTCTTATACACATCTAGATGTGTATAAGAGACAGGATTTTCTACAGCGAATTAGAAGATACGATCACTGGCAGTGAAATTTATCCGGGCAATTTATTAAGTCCAATTAAAAACCGTGTTGATTTACCCGACAATTTGTATGAACAGTTGATTACTTATTATAATGAAGTTTATGGTGAAAAGATGGATGTTGAATTCGGCTCCATGTCAAATCTGATCAGTCGAGGTTTACAGAATGATTCGTATGTAGTTGTTCAACCAATAATTAATCAATGCGGAAGAATTCGAGTGGCAGCTGAAATTTTTGGAGCGCGACCTCGATATAAGAAAAATTCTTATATTTTAGCAAAATTTACCCAAGATAACGAATCGATAGAATTATACCCAGGAATGGTGCAATTTTATTTCGAGCATGTATTGCGACTTCCAACTATTGGTGAAAGAACGCACAAACTTGCTTACGTCAAATAGTACCTACCGGTTAATGATCATCGAATTAGATTTTACTGCCGAGCTGAACAGGACGATGACCGCAGTGTTAATATTGAACTCTGGAAACTTAATGAATTTTATGAAATGTCTCGTGATAGTATAATTCCAATTCATAATATTTATAGCCGGTTTATTCCTACTAATTTTACAATCGGAACAAATAAGTTTTCTTGAGCAACATAAAATTCATAAGCAATTTGTTCAATATTTTTTAGAAAAATTGAATATGACAAGCAATGTTCCTAAAAGTTATCTTCAAAAATGGAAAATATTTGAAGAATAATTAGATGATATACAATTAAATTTACAAATAAAATGTCTTGTCAAATTTGAAGAAGTATTTTATGAACCTATTTATCAGTTTTTAACTAATTATGATCCAGTACCTTGAATTTATAGTTCAGATGGATTGGAATGTCTTTCTTTTGGCAATTAGGCACATGAAATGCCTGATAATATGACACTAATGTGAATAGAAGAACTTCAAAATAATGTAGAAAACATCTTTGATCTTTTTGGTAAAGAATTATATGCATGAGACAGAAAACTTCATGTCTTCAGATGATTTTAATAATTTATGTAAATCTTTACAAACTGGAGTTAAAAAGGCATTAGATGGATTTATAAAATGGATGGGTGTTTGGATTCATTTGCCATTAAGCATTTGCAGTCTAGAAGGTAATTATGGATTAGAATATGCTAGTGCATTTTTACAAGTATTTTATTCTTATTCCAAATCATATTCTCTTACTTTGTAAGAATCATTATATATAAATATTTGTAGCAAAATATAATGGACTAAAATCAAAATACTTTCAGTTTACTTGAAGCATTGTTCAATCAAAATTTCTTTGACCAGTTTAATAACTTTGCAAATTCAGATGGACAAGAACCATGAAAATTTTCATTAGTTTATGAATTTATAAAATGTCAAATTTACAGCATTGTAAATTTGTAATCCACTAACAACAACTCAAAGGTTTATTTAATTGCTATAATATTAAAATACACCTGAATATGGGTATAGAACTTTAACAAGTACGAATCCAAATTTCTGGTATTAACAATAGAATTGAAAAAGTAACTCAAGATGAACTTCATCATATTCAGAAAGAAATAAGAAATTCTAATAAAAGAAATAATTCTTTAGAAAGAATGCACAAAATATCTTAAATACTTTCTTAGTTTGGCGTAAAAAATAAATTTGCAAATATTAAATATAACTAAAATTTGCTTTTCTAATTAAATAAAAACACGTTCAAAGAATTATATTCAATAAGGTTAAAAGTAATAAAAATTTGTCAGATCACAAGAAATAAAATTTTCACAAAAGTAATTTTTAGCAGTATTAAATTTATTAGTAAAAAAAATTTTGAAATTTTATCACGAAAAATCTTCACTAATGATTTTTATTACGCAGCTACTAATATATTTATGGTTAGCTTGATATTAAATACTCACTTCATATGAAAAAATTATAAATGTTTGGTAAATTTGCATCATTGCTTTATTGATCAAATTACTTGAAATATTTACATTGCTTATAAATTCCTTCTGCAACCTTCTTACACCTTTTGCAATATAGATGTGAGTAATGATCAAATTCCTTATATACCTTATATCTATGCTTTCATCTCCTAAATATATACCATTTTTTAAAGTAGTTCTACTTTAGCAAAACGTCTTTCAGCTCCTTATAAGCTGCACTATTTTAATTATTTGGTAAGAAATTTGGCATGATATATATAGTTATAAAAATTATTGTATAACCAAAATTTCATTTACCTAATTTTGACATTCTGAATACTATGCATTTAGAATAATAACTAGTGTTCTGAATGGGTTAGGTCAATTCAGATGACCCGTCAGGTTGACCTGAAAATTTTGGGTCAGGTTATCAAATTCATGACTTGACCTCAAGTCAGATCACAGTTTGACCCAACCTGTTAACCTGTTTGACCTGACATAATATTTCTAGTCAGATGGATCAAATATGTAACAAAAATGCTGAAAACATTTTTTTATTGCATTACTATTAAGAAAAAATGTTTCAGCATTTTTTCATATAAAAAAATGCCAAAATGTTTTTTTTTGTATTAATTATATTATAAAAAAAACGTTTTAGCATTTTTTCATATAAAATTACTAGAAAAAAATACCGAAACGTTTTTTTTGTATTAATTATTATAGAAAAAACATTTTGGCATTTTTCATATAAAATTATTAAAAAAAATGCCAAAACGTTTTTTTTTGCATTACTATTAAGAAAATCGTTTTGGCATTTTTTCATATAAAATTATTAAAAAAAACACTAAAACGTTTTTTTTGCATTATTATTAAGAAAAATGTTTTGACGTTTTTTCATATAAAATTTAAAAAAAAAATGCCAAAATGTTTTTTTTTATATTAATTATTAAGAAAAAACATTTTGGCATTTTTTCATGTAAATTATATTAAAAAAAATGCCAAAAACGTTTTTTTTTGTATTAGTTGTTAAGAAAAAATGTTTCGGTATTTTTTCATATAAAATTATTAAAAAAAAATACCGAAAATGGCATTTTTTTATGTAAAATTATAAAAAAAAATGTCCAAAATATTTTTTTTGTATTAATTATTAAGAAAAAACGTTTCAGTATTTTTTCATATAATAAATATTAAAAAAATGCTGAAATATTACTTTTTTAACAGAAAAACATCAAGTTTAGCGTATTTTGTTTTTTTTTTAACTAAAAAACGTCAGATTTAACATTTTTCATTAAAAAAAAAACTTTTCTTTAACTAAAAACATCGGGTTTGATATTTTCAATTAAAAACCTTGGTTTTTTTATTTTTTTAATCATTTTTGATACACAGGTTAAACAGGTTAATGGGTTAGGTCGGGTAAGACAGGTTACCTGACTCGACCTGACCTGATCTATTTGGAATACTAATAATAACTGCACATTTTTTTAAGTGATTATACTTCTCTACGAATTAAAACTTAGAATGCTAAAATATTATGGCATAGATGCTGAAACTGAATTAACGTAACTGTAATTATTTTTATAGGCGTAATGTAATTTGATGGACATATGTATTATAACAGACGTATTGCATTATGATAGATGTATTATATTTTAACAGATATATTGTATTTTAACAAGAGAAAATTTATATTCCGCCCCCCGTGATTTCTTTAAACATCACTTTATGGGTGCGAAACCAATAAATATCATCTTATAAAAAAATATATTCCGGTGATGCAATAAAATATCACTTTATTAAAATTATTAAAATTTATACATATTATTAAAGATTTTATTATACAAGATAATTAATTGCTTACACGTTCCTTAAGTTTGTTATTTTTATGATATGCTGCATTATGACCAGCCTGACCACATATACGACATTTATAAGTATTTCAGCTTGAAGATCCACCATTTGCATTACGATCACTTTTTTCAATTTTAACACTACTTTTGAACTGTTTTGTTAGAGGCCGACCTTTTGTTTTTATTTTTAATAGATTTTGAATGTTTTTAAGTTCATGATGTTCATATTCTTCATTATTAATTGGTGTATTATTATCTGATTGCTCTTCTTGAATGTTATCATCATTATTTATCAAATTTAATCCTCTTTGTCTTTTTCTCTTATTAATATATTCTTTTAATAGAACTTCCATTTCATTGTCATTAGATTCCAAAGCAAGTAAAGTAGCTTCCCGAGCCATTCCCCATAACCTCCCATATTTTGTCTTTTTATCAATAGCTTTCTTTAAAATTGAAGCACATTTTGGAATAGTGATTTCTTTGCGTAATAGAAGAATATTATCTGAATCAGTATTATTAATAGTTTCTTTTTCATATGCGAACACTAAATTATTTTCTTGAGATAAGTCCATTCCTTGATAAGCATCTTGATACCATCTTTCTGGGATCATTAAAATATGAAAACCTGCAATTTTTGAAGACATCATTATGTGAAAATAATGACAGCAAATAACCCCCTTTGAAATTGTAGTTAAACATGAACATAAAAAAAAGATTTAATTAGAAATTGCAATGTAATGAAAAAACGTCTCTTTTCAGGTCAGATATCACAAATTTTCCAGATCTCCTTAATATCCTCTTTACCAATCTCATCAATAATTGATTGTAATTTAATCATCTGTACATTATAGTTATCTTCAATAAACCCGACATGTTCTTCCATTTTCTAAAAAAAAAAAAAGAAATATGATTAATGCATTATGAACTATAACAAATAAAACCTTAACATTCACCATAATCCAAACCCTAATCCTAATCCTATCTAATCCTAATCCTAATCCTAACCCTAATCCTAATCCTAATCCTAATCTAAATTCTAACTTTTTAATTCCAACTCCTAACTCTAAAAATTACTTACTTGATCTTGAATAAAATCTACTTCAGAAAAAGAAATTATGGTTACTTGAAGATATAATAAACATTGTAACATTTCTTCTTTAATAGTAGTTGCTATATTTATTGTTAAATACTTTTCTAATATCTCAGTTATTGAAGGAAAAAGATCATCTCCCGTTGATAATAAAATTGAATTTGTAGTTGCAGATCGATATTCATAAAATCTCTTCCATTGAAGTTCTGAAGTAAGCCTTTCAGATAAACTATCAACAAGATGACATAAGGTTGAATTGCTTCTGACTGTTTTTTTAATAATTGCATTCATTCCTTCAACTCGTGAAGTAGATTCAATATTAGCTGTAAATATTTTTCGCAAGTAACAGCGTGCCCATGATTTCTTTGATGGCCATTAGTACTCTAAAAAGATAATCTTTAGCTAATGGGAATTTTTCTAGTAAATCATTCCATCATGCAATAAATAAAGCTTCACAAAGACTATTACGACATTTGTAAAAGTTTTTAATAAAGTCACTATAATGGTCCCATTCACTCTCACTAATAGGTTGAATGTTGTCCTAATTTGCCTTTCAAATTTTTTGGTAAATTCTGTCCAATATGGTATATACAATGTGCATGATAACTATTTGGAAATTGAACAGGTATAGTAGCATCTATAGCTGGGTCGGCATCAGTAAAAAATACTAGAGGTTATTTTTCAGTAGCTTGCAATACACATTGTAATATCCATTGGTAAGTTTCAAATGTTTCATCGCTAATAACAGCTTGTACAAGTAATCTTGTACGTCCATTATTATCCACACCAACAAATACACTTAAAGGCATACTATATATATTTGTTTTTGCCGTATTATCATTGATGATAATGTCATGATATTTAATTCAGAGTACTACTTGTTCAGGAGTCATCCAAAACAGATGGGTAAGCTGATTATCATTATCAAGTTCAAATTTAACAAACAAAGGATCCTCCTGCTTCTTTTGGACAAGATTGATAAGAAGATCAGATGCATCATTATGCATATTACTACGATCAAGTGACTTGAACTTTTGTATAGCATTTGACAAGTCCGAATCTGAACAATTCATTTTTGGAAATCTTGCTTTTAGAAGATTTCGTTGTAAAGTAATTGAAAGATTGCCATATCTGGTCATTATTTCAATTTTGTCTATCATTTCTTTTGTAAATTCTCTATATTTGCTATTAAATTCAAAAGCATCTGGTCTTAATTCATGATTATGTTGATTTGCGAATAAACTAACAGTGATACAAGTAGCACGTTCTGGAAAAGTAAAATTTATATGCTAAGGACATTAACATTTTTTGGTTCTAGTATTCCGCTGTTTTCCTGCTTGCAAAGCAGATTCTGATTTTTTTGATTTAAATTTACCACTAAATTCACATACAAATGTCCTTTTTGTAATTAATTGCGTAGATCTGTTTTTTTCTATACGATATTTAGTTATTGCAAATCCATTACGTTGGCCATAGTCTTTTAGAAAATCTTCCACTTCTTCCCAGGAAAGGAAAGTTGTATTAAAACTGATATTCTCACTAGCAATTTTCACTCGTGTTTCATCAGTATCTAGTTGATCTTGGATGTTATCAGGAATTTTATCATTAATATTTTCATCTTTATCTTTACCAATAGTAATAACAGGATTATTGGAAATATCATCATCAGTGAGAATAGGGGTATTAGAAATGTCTTCAGACACGAAAAGTATGTTATGACGATGTAATAATTCCATAACTAAAGAGAAAGTTACAGAAAGGTGAAAGTCTTACGTGAAATAAAGATGCTTACATGAAAAGAATAAGGTTTACAAAAAAAAAGGTAAAAAGTTTAGTAAAAAGGAGAGTTTACATGGAAAAAAAGGTAAAAAAGAAAAAAGTTTTGTAAAAAGGAAAGTTTCGCAAGGAGTAAATAAATCAAATCAGTTTATTACATAATCACATCAGCGATTTAATTAGTAATCATCGCCTAATAATAATTTTTTGAGAGAGCGATGCATGATAAATTTCATATGGTAATACAATATATTTATTATAAAGCAGTATATAAAACTATCACACTCTGCGATATTTACATTTATTCTTTTAACAAAATGTATTATGAAAAATTTGAAAATTTTACAAATTTATATAGCTGATAGCTTTTTATTATCAAAAAAATATTTATATTTAAAAATTAAAAATCTGTTCCTACTTCCTACTATAACTGATAATGTTAAACTCTGAAATCTACAAAATGAAAAGTTAAAGAATATTAGTAAACGTTCTTATATAAAAAACCAAAATCTGCTTCCTTCCATCCTCTTTAGAAACATTTATTCATTTCAAATTCTAAGTTTTAATCTAAAACTTACAAAAAGAGAAGTAAAAGAATATTAGTGAACGTTCTTAATATATAAAAGAAATAAATTCCGCTTTCTCCCTCCTTTAGAGATACTTACTTATATTTAAGTTCCAGTCTGAACCTTATAAAAGAAATTAAAAAATGTTAATAAATATTTTTACAAATCCTGCACCCCTCTCTTTTAAAAACATTCGCTACTTAGATGTCTTTAATGTTAAGTTTCAATTCAAAATCTACAAAAGTAAAGAACGTTAATATCATTCTTATATAATTCTACTCACTTACTTACTCTTTATAAATATTTACCATATCAATTCCTACAAACTGGAATCTTTAAAAAATATTATAAACATTTTTAATAAAAAAAATAAATAAAAAATCAGTTTACTTAAAAACTGGAAAAAAGTAAAAACCAAAATAATATTAAAAAAATTCAGTTTAAAAAAACTGAAAAAGAAATAAAGAAAATAAATTTTGGTTTAAGAAACCAAAAAGAAAATAAAAAAATAAATAAAATTTTAGTTAAACCTGTATCTACTGTATAGAATTTCTAAATAATGCGTAGAATTTCTGTTTTTCTAAATAAAAATTTTTTTAAACAATTTTTTTTTATCTTTAAAAAAAAAGATTGATAAATAATAATTCGATCTCTAAAAAATTTTTAAATAATAATTGGATCCAATCAAACCCAATCAAGTTTGATCACTAAATAATAATTCAATAAATCAGTAAAAATAAAATACAGCACTATATCAAAAAAAAGGCTAGTAATGCTAAAATTGTAATTAATTCGCAGCAAAGTATAAACTGACAAAATAAACAATATTCAGTTTTATTCAGTTTATTTTTAGTTTATATGGTAATTATTCATATTATTTTCACGTAAAAAAAATAAATCGAATTTCAAATATTAACTACTTAATATTTTGTCAACAGTAGCTTCAACATCAAATACATTTGAACCATGGTTAATAACAGGTAATAAATGTAGTTCAATAACTACATTTACTTCTATATTAAGTAATTTTTTTAATTCCAAATTATTTATATTGACCCATTTTTCGATTTCTGTAACATCTCTTTAATTAGGAATATTTGAATCACTATTACTCTTTTCTATACATGCCACCCAAATTATTTTGGACTGCCGTAATTATAAGTAAAATCCCAAATTCAATTATGACATCCCAAATTATTTTGGCACTTTACATAGTAAATTATATATAAATTAAATGAATTACGACATTCCAAATTATAATTATGGCAATTATGGCATCCCAAAATAATTTGGGCAGCATGTATACTCTTTTCGTCATTATCGTTATCATTGTTATTGTCGTCATCATCATTGTTATCATTATTGTTATCATCATTATCATTATTATTATTGTAATCATTATCCCCATCATTCCCATTACTATCATCACTATCATCAAAAAAAATCATTTCCTTCATCCTTGTCTAAACCATCACTTGCATTAGCTTTAGATAACGCTTCTCATATAGAAGATTGAAAATCGTTTTCTGATACACCTACATAAGCATACTTTAGTTCTTTTTGGGCATTTGTAATATAATATCTATAAAGCTTGACCATAGCTTCCAGTTTTTCAACTTTTAATTTAGATCTTCTTTGATTTGCAAACTATCCCAATACTGAAAAAACTCTCTTACATCTAGCATTGTAAGGAGTTATTGCTAATATTTTTAATGCTAATTTTTGTATATAATTTTCTTCACTATGGACAGAATTGTATAAAATCCACCAAGTAAGAACATCACCCCTACTTGCACTATATGGAATATTGTATTCTTTTTTTCTTAAATAAAAGGATTGGATCTGAAAAATCAAATCAGCAGAAGAAAGTTTATCACCACCCATATTGATCCATATTTTCATGACCAAAATATACACATTACATAAAATAGTTGATTGTAAACTTATTTCTAAATTAATACACTGCCCTACAATAAATTACCGGATTTGACAAAATTTGCATAGCAATTTTCACGTTGCATATAAGTTTAAGAATTTTTAATAAAATTCAGCCAGAATTTTTTTATTTGAAAGCTGATCATAGATAGTTTTTATGTATCAAAATAAATAAATATGATTAATTATAAATATAAAAAAGTTTTCTCATTGCAAAATAATACAAAAAATTATGAAATTCTCACTTTTTTTCAGTAATGGATCAACTCTTTAAAATTTTAGAAAATTTTCTTTATTTTTTAATACAAGAAAGCTACAATTGATTGGCTTTCAAACAAAAAAAGTTTGACTGAATTTTGTAGAGAATTCGTTAAGTTTCATATAGACTAAAATTTGTCAATTATTGTTAATTTTACTATGTAATTACAAATTTTTATAAGATTTACTAGTAAAATTGTTGATTTTCGGGCTATATGAAACTTTATGAATTCTCAATAAAATTCAGTCAAAATTTTTTTATTTGAAAGCCAATAAATTGTAGCTTTCATGTATTAAAAAGTAAAGAAAATTTTCTAAAATTTTAAAGAGTTGACACACCCTATAAAAAGTATTATACTTAAAATATACTTAAAATATACTTAATTTAAAAATTGCAAAATACTTATAATATATTTTTAATATATCTAAAATATACTTAAAATTATCTTAAAATATATGTCTAATATATTTAATTTTTTGCCCATATACTTAAAATATATTTAAATTATATTTAAATTAAAATTTAAGTATATTATAAGATTATTATAAGTATATTTTTTATATACTTAAAATATACTTAAAATATATTATAAAATATATTATAAGAATATTTTAAGTATGTAAAAAATATATCTATAATATACTTAAATTTTAATTTAAATATAATTTAAGTATATTTTAAGTATTTGGGCAAAAATTAAATATATTAGAAATATATTTTAAGATAATTTTAAATACATTTTAAGTATATAATAAGTATTTCGCAATTTTTAAATTAAATATATTTTAAGTATATTTTAAATATATTTTAAGTATATTTTAAATATATTTTAAAAAGTTTTTAATTATATTTTAAATATAAATACTTTTTATAGGGCCATTGCTGAAAAAAAGTGAAAATTTCATAATTTTTTGTATTATTTTGCAATGAGAAAACTTTTTTATATTTATAATTAATCATATTTATTTATTTTGATACATAAAATCTATCTACGATCAACTTTCAAATAAAAAAATTCTGGCTAAATTTTATTAAAAATTCGTAAACTTATATGCAACGTGAAAATTGCTATGTAAATTTTGTCAAATCCGGTAATTTATTGTAGGGGAGTGTATTAAAAAAATTGTAAAAAATTCTTAATAATTATAAATCCCAATAAAAAATATTTACCTCTATAGTGTGGATGAAGTAAGTATGCTAAAAGATAAAGTTGGATATTGAATTCTTGCCAACATTTATTAAAAAGTTTAATACATTGATATTTAAAGTTATAATCAGAAATAGGTGGAAGTGATTTAATTTTTCATGTAAGTTTAATTAATTTAACAAAACAATCTGCAAGAATGCAAGTGTTGTTGTTTTAAATTCTAATGATTTAACAACTGATTTTACAGGTTCTAAAAGGATATTTACAGCTTTTACATCGGTAAAAAAAGATTGACTTCAAATAAGTTCTGAAATATTTAAGGTTGCCTACCTAAACCTTTCCAAATTTCTACAATTAGTTTCTCCAAAATTTTACTATAGTTTTATTATAGTTTTGGTAAAGTTTTGGCAGTTTTGGCATTTATAGTAAGTTTCATCAGGTTTCACTTTTCTCCAGAGTTTTGCCAACTTTTTAATAAGACCTTCATATAGTTTCAGCAAAGTTTCGCTATTTCAGCATTTCGCCAACTTGCCAAAACCCTTTAGTTTCTCCAGCAACCTTAGAAACATCAGTACTTAACTTTTTTGGAGTTTCATTTAAAATCTTGATTATTAAAAAAAAATTAGTAAACAAATATATAATGCAAAAATAACATACTATCCTTTCTTAATCCTTACATTTTTAAGTATTTGTTCTAATTACAAAATAGAATCTGTGCAATCCCAAGCTGTAGTCCACCTAGTTATAACATAAGTTTTTAGTCTATCTCTTTTTATTTCATTTGTTATCTTTGAACGTAACTCTTCACCAGTTTGATAAGATTGCTTAAAGTATTTAACTATTTTTTGACATTTTGAAATAACATCCTTTGCAAATATTGTTTGCAAATATCAGTCGAAATCAAATTTACATGATAAGTGATGCATCTGATTGGTAATATGTGTTTGTACTTTGTATCGTTCAGCAATTCTTTTTTAGTAGCTGTACAAGCAGATGCATGATCTGATACAACTGCTGCAAAATTTTCTGCACCAACTTTAGTGATTACTTTATTCAATTAATCAGCAAGAAAATTTACCGTTATCACCGGCATCTGCTATATACCGATAGATGAAGTCCTAATATTTATAAATATATATATCCTTGTTTGGTTTAGATTTTATTATTTCAATTTATTCAAAATTTCAAACTGTGATAATTTCCTTTAATATCTTCATAATATCATTATTTTTGTTTTATTAATTTTTATTTTAAATATTAATTTTATCAATTATTAAACGTTTTCTAATATGAAGCCATATTAGTAACTCTATATTAACAACTAATACAATTATTAATAACCATTAATTTTCCCAGTTCCAATCTGAAGATTGGTCTTTAACCATTAATAATTTCAATTTCAATCCGAAGATTGGTAGAGTTCAATCAACTCCAAAACCTCGATCTTAAATATCTTTTCAAGTTACAATAATAAATTGATTATCTCTCGATTATCCATCTAAAACTCAACATTTCCCATCACAATTTATCAATTTATCATTATCCATGACTTTGTTCAAACTATCCATCATAATTTGTTATTATCCATAATTTGTCTAAACTGTCCATAATTTTTATTGTCCATAAATTGTCCATTCTATTGTCAAAGTCCTCCTAATATTATATCATTTCATTAACGTGATAATAATCTATTTATACTAAACTAATAATAACTAATCTAATAATATAAATAATTATAAATAACTGAACTATAAATAAATATTACTATAAATAACTATCTATTGTACAATTATAGTAATGTATTTTCTAATTATTTCAGTTAAATATTCTTCCATCAGCTGAATGTTTATCCATATTCCATTTGGTATATTATTCATCCTTCAGGTAATTATTCTTCTGATTACGTGATTATCTTGATATCAAGGGTTATACCATATAAGAATTTGCTGAAAGATTTTTTATGCAATATCAGATATATAATCTCTTTTCGATTAGATGTTATAATTACAAATGCATATAACAATTGCCCTAAAGGACTTGTTCAACCATCAAAACCTATTTAAAAATAATAATAATTAATAAATTTGTTTCTAATAATAAAAAAAAAAATATTTTTTATTTTATTACCCAACATTAAATTTTTTGTTCTCTTCAGTTCTAAATGCTGATCAACTACAATGTTAGCTAATTCTTCATATAAAAAATCTTGTGAAAGTGTATTTGCAGATGAAGGATCATATTCTAAATATAAACTTTTAACCATATCAATAAAAAATGGATGTTCAATAAGACGAAAGGAGACTCCACAGCAAATAAAAAATTTTACTACTGTACGATCACAAATTTGCTTTTTAATTAGTTCTATTGTATTAGATTCACTGTATTTTATAATTAATTGCTGATGTCCTATTTTTTTTAGATGGTACTTCTGCTGCTTCTAATTGAAAAGTTCGACTTTCACCACGTGTTTTAACCATAAATAAAAATTTTTCTTTGATATCTGAGGGTACTTTATTATGACAACTAAGCGCTAAGTGTACTTTTATACTATTAGGTTCACTATATGTTTGACTTCATGAACAATATTTACACTTGCAATCTTGATGTCCTTCTTTTTTTTCTTCAATAGCTGTAAAAAAATTCTAAATTTCTTTTAGTTTTTAACCTGGCTTAGCATTTAGCTTTTTTTAGTATAAAAGATATTGGATTTTCACTTTCACTTATTTTTACTTGTTTTATTTTATAAAAGAAAAGCAGCAAAACAAAGAAAACTTCAACATTTGAATAAAGAATATCAAACAAATATGCATTATGTATAATTTGATGTACAAAATGTAATATAATATACTATGACGTTATTGACATAAATCATTTTGGCAATTTCAGCAATTATGTCTGTAATTTGTATAAATTCAATTTGGCTGTAAAAATAAATATGGCAATATGTCAAAAAAAATGGTCATGCTAAAATTATTACGACAGATTTTTACAGACATAATGCCAAACTGTAATTAATTCGCGGAGAAATATATACTAAGTGATTGATCTCACATAACTGGTCTATACTACAATAGTGAATTTGAATTTATTGCTTGAAGTGAAGCAAGTAAAACAATATTCTGCTCTATTTCTATAGTACTATTCACTATATAATCTATAATTTCCATGTTTTCTATTACAAATAGGATACAGTGAGCTCTATGGCTGAGATGATGCAAAAATATAATTATCAATCTCTCTAAAATTCAAAATATAGAAAGTGCTCTAAGACGAATTTGATAATTAATTCTTGATTAGATTTGACTTCGAAAGTAATAGGCCCTTTTTCTTCACATTGCTCAGAAAAAGATAAATCAGATATTTTATTTTCTGGTTTTGAATTTATGAAAAGGTGATCATCTGATAATTATCATGGCTTAAGTTCTGTTTCTCTTTTATATTTTTTGTATAAATTGGAGCAAATCTTATTTAATAAAATATTTGGCAAACTAGTTAATTTAGTATGCCAATTCAGATATTCAGGGATTAGTATTTTATCAGATT